TCAATTTTAGAACTTTTTCATCACTCTAAAAGGAAACCCTAGGCCTTTAGCAATCAACCCCTACCCACTTCATTTCCTGGCCCTAGGCAACCGCTGATCCACTTTCTGGATATAGGTTTGCGCCTGTTCTAGACATTTCCTGTGAATGGAATCATGTAATTTGTGGTCTTTGGTGTGTGGTTGCTTTCACTTGGTAGTGTGTTCAAGGTTCATCCATGTCATAGCATGAATTAGCACTTCACTCCTTTTTATTGCGGAACAGTGTCTCGTGTGGCAGACCACGTTTTATTTGTCCATTCATCACTTGACAGACAGTTGGATGGTTTCTACTTTTTGACTATTATGAATAGTGATATTATGTACATTTGTGTATAAGTTTTTGTGTAGACATATGTAGTCATTTCTATTGGGTATATACCTAGGAGTAGAATTGCTGGGTCATGTGGTAACTCTATGTTTAACCTTTTGAGGAGCTGCCAGCCTGTTTTCCACGGTGGCTGCACCTCTTTATTTTCCACCATTGATGCATCCAGTTTTCTCCACACCCTTGCTAACACTTGTTGTCTGTGGGTTTTTTTTTTTTTTAAGACAGAGTCTCACTCTGTTACCCGGGCTAGAGTGCCGTGGCATCAGCCTAGCTCACAGCAACCTCAAACTCCTGGGCTTAAGCGATCCTCCTGCCTCAGCCTCCTGAGTAGCTGGGACTACAGGCACACGCCACTGTGCCCAGCTAACTTTTTCTATATATTTTTTAGTTGTTTGGCTAATTTGTTTCTATTTTTAGTAGAGACGGGGTCTTGCTCTTGCTCAGGCTGGTCTCGAACTCCTAACCTCAAGCGATCCTCCCGCCTCAGCCTGCCAGAGTGCTAGGGTTACAGGCGTGAGCCACCACGCCCGGCCTATCTGTGGTTTTTTTAATATAGCCATTCTATGAGGTGTGAAGTGGTATTTCACTGTGGTTTTGATTTGCATTTCCCTGATGCTTAATGATATTGAGTATTTCTTCATGTACTTATTGGCCATTGGAGAAATATCTCTTAGATCCTTGTCCGTTTTTAAATTGTCTTTTTTTTTTTTAAGATGTAGGGTCTCACTGTGTTGCCCAGTCTGGCCTCAAATTCTTGGGCTCAATAGATCCTCCCAAGTAGCTGGAACTATAGGCGCATGCCACTGCACTGGGCTTTTAGAATTATCTTTTTATTATTGAATTTTAACAGTTCTTTATATATTCTAGATGAAATCTCTCATCAGATGTATGATTAGCAAGTATTTTCTTTCCATTCTGTGGGTTGTCTTTTTACTTTCTTGATGGTGTCCTTTGGAGCACGGAAGTTTTTCATTTCAGTGAGGTCAGAGAGCTCATTTTGATGGCTTTGGATGAGCGTGGGTTCTAGAGGCAGGTGTAGAAGCAGAGGGCAGTCACTGGAAGACCATGGCAGTGCAGGTGAGAGATGTCATGGCTTCCACTAAGGCATGGCCATGCAGTTGGTGAGAAGGGGCCAGGTTTGAGGTTGGTTTGGAGATAGGGATTGTAGGGGTAAGGGAGACAGAGAAATCCAGGATGAACACTAGGATTTCAGCTTGAACACTTTTGATTCAAGATTTCATTATGCTGTTACCTTCTGCAGAATTGTGACAGTCTTTAATACCTGCTGGCATTATTAATAGCCTGGCAAGGTGAGCCCTGTGCTCCCTCCTTACACATTTTGAAGTTGCTTTTGGTAGGATTATTATCACTGGTGTGCCCAGGAGCTGGTTCCAGGGATTCTGACCTTCCATAATATTCATTAAAACCTCCTAAGCCACCACAAATAAACACGTAAAGTAAGCCAGAATAGTGTGCCTGCTTTGCAAACGCACTTTTGAGGCGAGTCGCCCGACTCCCTTCTAGCCAGACTGCAGTGTCAAAGCCTTTCCTGTACAGAGATGATGGAGCTGTCAGTGAATGGTAGCAAATCAAGTGGATGAATTTTTGAAAGATAAATCTCTTAATTTGACAGAGCTACTTTGAGGAAAAAGATTTTTAAAGGTGGAAGTAACATTGGCTGACATTTATTTGTGAAGTGCTTAGTATTTCCACTTGATTCCAAGGAGATCTCATCAGCTTAAGCAGATAAGAAAGCACCTTCCGGAGACGGGGAGTAGTGTGAAGCGCAGGATGTGAGAGGCCGAGGCATGCTGTAATTAGAAGCAGTTCAGTGTGGCTGGAGTCTGGTTAGAGGTCCTGGGGCGACAGGGCCCAGCAGAGGCCAGATCAGCAAGGTTCTTGTAAGCCAGTGACACTCGGGCTTTAGCCAGAGTGGGATGGGGACCACTGGAGGGTGTTAAGCAGGGGTGTGACAAAGTCAGCTTTGCACACCAGGAAAATCCCTCTGTTTGCCAAGTGGGTGAGAGGGGAGTGGGAGGCAGGCAGATGAGCTGGCACCAGGAAGAGCTCCAGGTGAGAGGCCATGGTGGCCTGAGCTAGGGGATGGGCAACGGGATGTGTGCGAGATGTATCAGGGAGGCAAATGGACGGGCTTGATAATCGAATGGAGAGCCAGGGACATAGAGAGGAGAGAAGGAGGAATCGGGGACAATGCCCCTCTTCTGGCTGGGACAGCATGGCCCAAGCAGCTGGGTAGAAGATACAAAGATACAAAGCTAAGTGTTTTTAGACGTTGTTCATTTACTCTGTGTAATACATCTATGACGTAGGTTTTACTAAACCCATTTCAGATGGGTAAATGGAGATCTAGAGAGGTTACATCATTTTCCCAGTGTCCCCCACAGGTAGTTTTAGGATAGCATTGGGATTTGAACCCAGGTCTTTTTTACTCAGTGTCATTAACCACTCCACTGTGCTGCTTCTCCTCAGTGAAAAGAAGGTGACTTTTATGGCAGTGGATCTGAGACCTGGGACAGGCTGGGGTGGAACATGTGGGCTTACGTGAAAATTGGGTAAGGAGAGGGAGCAAAAAAGTCTTAGCAGGAGTGTTTGTTGAGTCTAAACTGTGTTTCCTAAACCTAGCACAGGAGGACAGTAAGGCAGTTGCTCTAGACTTGTTTTTCGGCCCGTCCCTGGACACTGCCTCTCCCTGTGGTAGAGTTTTGCTGGGAGTTGGCATCAGCCCGCTCCTTCCAGCTGAATGTCGAGTGAGGGGCAGCACGCGTGCTGCTGAGATAACAACACAGGGGCCCCTCGATGGAGGGGAGCACGCATCTTGTGTGCCTGCTGGGGACGCCTGTGCCCGGCCCCACACCCGGCTTTCCTCACTCATCTGGGCGCGGTGACTTACCGGCCTCTGGACATCCTTTGGAAAAACATGTTTGAGGCATAAATCGACATGACCATTCTGGAGGGCAATTTGGCAATACTTTTTTTTAATTCAATATTTTCACCTCTTGAAATATACTGCAAAAATATGTTCGGATATGTGTCTGTTTTTTATGATGGTAAAATTAAAACATTTTGGTTGAGAAAATTTTGGTTTATATATTGTGGGTTCTCTGAAGTTTTTCTGTGTGGTCACTAAAAATCACATCCTAGGAGAATATTTAGTCACGTGGAAAACGAGATTTATTAAGGGAAAAACTGTATGTGTGTATACACATGTATCTATAGCTGTCTCTATATATAGTATAGCTCTATGATGGGCTTGTGAGTGACTTCTGTTTACTTCTTTGTACCTTTCTCTATTAACCAATTTTTGATAGTGAACATTTATAACTGTTGTAAAAAGAAAATTTTATTTAAATAAATTGTGGCGCGTGTGTGCGCGCGTGCGCACGCACGTGTGCATGTGTACACATGTGTGGCAAGGACCTGACGGTGAAAAAGAACAAAAGCTGAGTGACACCTAGGGGAGGAACATTCTAGGTGGAGGGAACCAGCCAAACAAGGGCTGCTGGGTGAGAACGAGCTGGATGAATTTGATCAGAAGCGGACTGGTAAGTCAGCCAGTCAGCCAGCTGTATAGAACTAGAAAACCCACAGTTCAAAGAGACCACACAGCCACCAGGCAAGAAGCTTTCACTAGAGGAGCTTGAAAGTCTCAGTAGAACCCAAAAAACTAAAATATCCCTTCAAGTCTGATCAGGTCCAGAGAGCATCTGCCGGTACTTGTTGACCATCAGAGCCGTGATTGTGGTGCTGGCAAGTGTCCAGGACTTAGGGAAAAGAGCCAGGTTGAAGTCTCAGCTGTGTGGTCTTGGGTGAGTCTCGTGACCCTCTGGCCCTCAGTACCTTCTCAGAGTCGGGGATGATGCCACCTGCCTTGTAGGGTAGGGTAAGGATTCAGTGAGTGACGTGCTGAGTAAGGATTGAGTGTCTTCCTGAAAGGCAGCTTTGCGTCCACAGTGCGGAGAGGTGCGGGTCTCCGTGTGGAGCAGATGTGAGGTCCTGAGGAGGCTGCAGGCGTCCAGTGGGGGCCTGTTCTTCACTGGCTCGTTAACTGCATCTGGGATTGGTTCACTGTTCTCCCAGTGTCTGTCCTGTTTCCCTCTTCCATATTCTATCCAGCCTGGTGGGCTTCATAGTTCAGGAGGTTTTCAGTGACACCTTCTCTACACTCACTCTATTGCACACTGATCCCTCCTCTCCCTCTTCTCGTGGAGACCACAAATTAGCAACTAAGTACTTGTGGGTTTGTGTCTTCTCACTGTTTCATCTGCCTCCCTGTCTGGATCATAAGCTACTTGAGAGTAAGAACTGTTTTTGTATTCTTTCCACTCCTCCCTGGCATAGTATTTACTACAATGTGAATTATAGGGGCCAATACATATCGAAGTGCATTTTGAATTTAAATGCTCAGAAGTGATCTTAATGATACCTTGTTTACTTTGTTTAATTAAGCTCTAGCTATAATTTTTACCTGCCTAAAAGTTCCATGTTCCCACTATGAAACATTACTTCTCTTTGACGTGACTAGGCATTGAAAGAATTGTAATGTTTTGTTCTGTAGCCCCCAGGTTTCCCTAGATGACAGAAACATTCCTTTTCCTGCCTGAAATCATCTCTGGAAAGTGTGGCCATGGCATCCGTATCAGCGCCTGTTACATTCAGAGAGTTCTGCCCATTGTACTATCTCCTCAATGCCATTCCCACGAAGATCCAGAAGGGTTTCCGCTCGATGGTGGTCTACCTCACAGCCCTCGACACCAATGGGGACTACATCGCGGTGGGCAGCAGCATCGGCATGCTCTATCTGTACTGCCGGCACTTCAACCGCATGAGGAAGTACAACTTTGAGGTGAGCCTTACTTTTCTTTGTACTTCGGTACACATGAACCGTGGCTGATGTTTAGCATGCTTGTGTCCTAGGATGTGATCATTTACTTCTGAATTGCTAGAATATGGCCTTAATACCTCATCCAAACAACACTTTAAAACCATCTTTAACTGAGGTAGAATATAACTAAAAACATTGGTGTTCTTAACTTTTTTCCTGCCTCCAAAAACCTAGCATCACTTTCTTCTTCTTCTTTTTTCTTTTCTTTTCTTTTTTTTCTTAGAGACAGGATCTTGCTCTATTGCCCAGGGTAGAGTGCTTTAAAAGAGAACATTTTGTGTTTAACACTTACTATTGATAGAAAACTCTGGAAATAGTTACTTTTTTCCTAAGTGTTTTGTTTCTCAGAGTACCTTGACTGACTGACTTGAATAATCTCTAGTTATTCTCTTGAAATTATTACAAAAAGGGTATTTATATGAATATTGGTTAATTGCCAGAATATGCACATCTTTTTTTTAAAACCAAAACATTTATTGTGTGACTAATTACTGAAATTCTTAAAATGAACTGGACGCTGCAACAGCTGTCCTTTTAGGTTCAGCTGTTCTTCCTTCACAGAATCCATGCCTGAATCTGTGGTGTACAATTTTTAGGTGCCTCATCTGACCAGTCCTGGTGGTATTTCGTCTTTGAGCCTGGCACTCCAGTTATACTTTCTCTTGCACTTGGCAGGGTAGCCACATTTGCCACAGGTGGACTTCTGAAGGCGGTAGGCCTTAGATCCACAGTGGTGGTACGATGTATGCATCTTATTGTGGCGCTTTCCAAATAATGACATTCCCTTCATCATCTTGCTTCTGCAGCCGAGACCAAAGAGCCAGAATATGCAAATCTTAAATGAGATCACTTCTGCAGCATTGGGATCTTCACCGGTCTGTGTTCTGCATTGTCGTTGACTCAGGCATCTCTGTGGATTGCAGATATTGGTGGAGTCATTGTTTGACCATGTTATGGCTGACACCAAGTATTGATGAATTGCAATCTGATTCAGCCATTTAGTCAATTTCTGTAGTTTATTGACTACATGGCTTTTGTGAGAGACTCAAAGGCGACTGAGTTGTTGCTTCTACCTTCTGTCTGTGGTTAGTGGGCTTTTATGGACCAAGACAGGGCTTTCGTATGTAAGAGAAATGTTTACAAATACTTATGTTTTAATCAATATTCAATGTCTTAACGTTTTAATTTAAGTCAATATTCAATGTTTTAACATTTTAATTTTAAAAGTTTTTCTTAACATGAATGAGCTTCTGTGCTCATTTTAAAATAATAAAAATGGTTAGCACACAAAAAGCACTTACTATGGGCCGGGCGCGGTGGCTCACGCCTGTAATTCTAGCTCTCTGGGAGGCCAAGGCGGGCGGATTGTTTGAGCTCAGGAGTTCGAAACCAGCCTGAGCAAGAGCGAGACCCCGTCTCTACTAAAAATAGAAGGAAATTAATTGGACAACTAAAAATATATAGAAAAAATTAGCCAGGCATGGTGGCGCATGCCTGTAGTCCCAGCTACTCGGGAGGCTGAGGCAGGAGGATCGCTTGAGCCCAGGAGTTTGAGGTTGCTGTGAGCTAGGCTGATGGCATGGCACTCACTCTAGCCCGGGCAAAAGAGTGAGAATCTGTCTCAAAATAAAAAAAAAGCACTTACTATACATGAGACATTATTCTAAACTTTTACATATATTAGCTCATTTTATGCTCACAAAAATTGTATGAGATAGATGTTATTATTATTATCATCCCATTTTTTTTAAAAGTTTGGGGGTGGTGTCTGGATGGGAAAGAAGATGTCATCCCCATTTACCAGGGAGACAACTGAGGCACAGGAAAGGTACATGACTTGTCTAAGGTTGACAATTAGTAAATAGCAGCACCATCATCTGAACTTGGGCGGGCTGTCTCTAGAGTTAGAGTTGAATTAATATTTCTTGTATAAGAATTAGAATCACTGTTATTCCCTTTATTTGAATAATAGCTCATGGATTTGACTGATCAAATTCTCCAAACAGGAGGAAGAAGAGGAGGACAGAGAGGGAAAAATTTTTTTTAAATTCCCCAAACATTTAAACAGATTACATAGTTAATCTTTTTTAAAACTGTACTTATGAATTTAATATCTCTGAAATACTTTAAACACCACTTAACAACAGAGACTTGTGAATCCCCAACAGGATAAACCAAAAAAATCCATGCTCAGAGAAATCTTAAACTGCTAAAGACAAATAAAAATCTTAAAAATAGCCAGAGAAAAATGACATATTACCTGTAGGGGAACAATGATTTTGATGACTACACATTTCTTATCAGAAACCATGCAGGCTGGAAGACAGTAGCACAACATTTTTAAAGAGCTGAAAGAATCATCAACCCAGAATTCTTTACTCAGTGAAAATGTCTATCAAGAAATGTGAAATAAAGATATTTTTGGGTAAAGGAAAATTAAGAGGATTCATTGCCAGCAGACCTGCTCTAAAGTCATTGCTTGAAGAAATTCTTCAGACAAAAGGGAAGTTGGTACCTCAGGAATGAAGGAGGAACAATAGTAAATACCTGGGTAAATACAATAGGTTATTTTTCTCCTACTGAATTCTTTAAAATATATTTGACAGTTGAAAGCAAAAATTATAACTGATTGAGTTTTCAATGTGTATAGATGTAGTAATATATAAGATGAGTATAATATAAGGTGGGGAGAGTAAGTCGACCTATAGGTCTGTACATTCTACTTGAAGCAAGTAAGATTCGAAGTAGATTTTGAGAAACTACATATACTGTATACATATACTGTATTCCCTAGAGCAACGACTCTACAATGATGTAAATGAAAATGAAATTGTGAAAAATTTTCACACAACTCTCAGGAAAGCAGCAAAGGGAAAACAAAGGAAGGAAAAACAAAAGGAACAAACAAAACAAATAAAATGATAGGCCTAAATCCAAACATACTAATAGTTATATTAAATGCAAATGATCTAAATGTATCGATTAAAAGAAATTATCAAAGTGGATTAAAAAAACATGAACTAACTGTATGCCATCTATAAGAAATTCAATTCAAATATAATGCTATATGTAGGTTTGAAATTAAAAAGATGGAAAAAGATACACTGTAGAAATGCTAATCGATAGAAAGTTGGAGTGGCTATATTAATATCAAGGTTGTCTTTAGAGCAAAAAAATAACTAGGGATAAAGAGAGACACTACATAATAGTAACAGGCTCAGTTCACCGAGAAGACATAGCAGTCCTAAATGTGTGTGCCCGTTAACAACAGAGCTTCACAAAACACTAAGCAAAAATTAACATAACTGAGAGAAATAATAGACAAATCCACAATTATAGTTGGAGATTTCAATATTCCTCAGTAATAGTAGTAGTAGACATAAATCAACAAAAATATAGAAGAACTGAACAGCACTATCAACCAACTTGATCTAATTGACATTTATAGAACATTCCACCCAACAATAGCTGAATACATGTTCTTTATAAGCACACACAGAACAGTCACCAGTATAGATCATATCCTGAGTTATGAAACATACCTCAACAAATTTAAATTAGACCAGGCTTTCCAGGCCCCTGTGTTTTACTTTGTTTTGTTTTTTGACTTTTTAATTGAAATATAGTTTACATAAAATATACAAATCTTAAATTTACAACATGATGAATTTGTATGTATACACCTGTGTTAATCACCCAGATCAAGATATAGAACATTTACAGCACCCCAGAAGATTCTCTTGTGCCACCTCCCAATCAGTACCCCTCCCCAAGGTAACTACTCTTCTGACTTCTAACATTATAGAGTAGTTTAGCTAGCGTCTTTGGTTTTGATTCACTATTAGGTAACCTCCGACATTAAGGTTTAGTGTGCGTTAGTGGAGTTTGGACTCCTTACTCAGATAGAAATTACAACCCAGTTCTCTTTTGTAAGCACATGTGTCTCATTGATCACCACTTTATTGTCTTTTTTAGGATGTTATTTATTTATTTAATTTTTTAGAGATGGGGTCTTGCTATGTATCCCAGGCTGGCCTCAATCTCCTGGGCTCAAGTGATCCCCCTGCCTCAGCCTCCCGAGTAGCTGAGATTGTAGGTAGGCACCACTGCACCCGACATACTGTCTTTATTAAAGAACTATATAACTATTTTAAAAATTTCAGCCACCAAACTGAAAAAAACCTAAAATTAAAGAAACAAGAGTTTTGTGCTTCCTGGAATGAAACTACAGATTACACCTGACTGCTAATTTTACAATTTTAACTAGAATTAGTTTTCTATATTTATTGAATATGTCTTAGTCCGTCTTTTGTTCCTATAACAGAATACCTGAGGCTGGTAATTTATAAAGAGGTTTATTTGGCTCACAATTATTTGGAAAGTCCAAGATTGGGCAGCGGCATTTCGTGAGGGTCTCATGCTGTTTCCACTCCTGGTGTAAGTTGGAAGCAGAGTGGGTATATGCAAAGAGATCACATGGTAAGAGAGGACTCAAGAGAGGGAAACCAAGGAAGCTAGAGTCTTTTAACACCTCGCTCTTGGGAACTAATCCAGTCCTGTGAGAGTGAGAACTCACTCACCTCGGAGGGAGGGAGTTCATTTATTCATGAGGAATCTGCCGCCTGGACCCAAACACCTCTCACTAGGCCCCACCTCCAAATTTCAACATCAGTTTTGGTGGGAGTAAACCACATCCAAACCAGAGCATGTGTGATGAGCCCCATGAGCTTTGAAGAAATACGGTGTGATGGGACAGCCTCCCTAGGGTCAACCAGAGTTTGGGGGAAGCCAGCGCAAATTAGTGGACCCAGCAGACTAGAAGAGGACTCTGGAAAAACCTCATGTAAAGATTTTTAGCTAGTTTTTCTTTACTGGAGGACCTTAAAAAATGTATTTTAGTGGTGCAAAAATCCACACTTGGTAGCCTTGAGTATCCAAAGCATTTTTTGAGTGCCCATTGT